GACTAGTACTTATATTATCTTTAACAATTTGTATTTATTTCCAGAATATGTGTTTCAACCCTTACAGCCTGTATGTTATTTAATCAAGCCCAAACACCCAGTTTCTGATACCTGTGGAAAGCTGAAAAATGAATATGATCTTCCAAGCCTTTGCTTTTCTTTCTGGGCTTCACTGTAAGTGGAGAAAACCTTGCAGCTGTGAGCTACAGCATACCTTCAAATATGGGAAAAATATGGGAATACTAAACTCAGTTACAATATTTTATTCACTGGTGCTATGAGCCTGCATTTATGCAGTTCTACAGTAAAATAATGAATGTTCCACATTAATCCTGAAATAAAACAGTGATTATTACTTCATTCTCCTAACAACTCTATTAAATGTATAGAACAAAATACTGTAACTACTATTTTACATATGGAGGTTAAGCAACTTGCCCCAAGTACCAATAGTCAGCAGGGAGCAATTTCTTGTTGGACAGACACTGTGCATATTACAACTATAGAAACTGTATCAGATAATCACCCTAAAATGTGAACAAAAACAGGAAATTCCTTTGCTAATAGCTTATTATTTAAGGAATTTTCTTCTTTGAAAAAATTTTAGATCACAATTTGCTTGAAATCTAAACTTGAACCAAAAAAATCATATCGTGTGCTAGATAGCTTTTTGTGAATTCAGAAATTAAGAACAAAGTTTTAAACAACTGTAATGAGGAATTACTTTGTCCTTGTGTTAGATAAAAGAAAATAAGCAAGCTACAATTAATTCTAGGTGATGTATGAATGTGAATGATTATATTGCTAGGCTGTGGAATCACTTTCTTCCTAGGCTCTCCTTTCAAATTCAGAAGTACTTAAAAATGTAACAAAATGTGTAAGATGAAAGAGACAACAGCTATTTTAAAAAAACATAACAGGGAAGAAATAATGACTCATTATAGAAATCACATATTTTGGTAACCCATGGACATTTAGTCATTGGTTTTCAAGTTATACAAAGTAAGCTGGCCATTAGAAGAAAAAAAAAACACTTCAAAACATCGATTTCAGAATACATTAATCACAGTATTTTATATTATGATAATATATATCAGTAACATTTTACCAAAGAGGAAGTAAATGGGCAAAGATAAGGAAAAAGCTGACATGAAAGGAATCAAGAACATTGACAACTCAGTAAAGGAAAAGGTGTTAAAGTATCAGATTCAAGTTTCATTAAGTTTTTGGTTTTTTTAAATGTAAAAGCAGAGGTAACAAAAATTGGTTTTCACCTGGTAAGTGTGTACTCCCTGAGTCCTGAATGCAAATTCATGGCAGAAAAAGTACCTATGCATCCACGTAATCTTTTGTCTCGACCAATCTTCCATGTTACAAACAGTGGGCTGTAATGGAAGATAAAAATAGGGTAAATCAATCAATTCAATTCAAGCAAGTATTTATTGAGTGTTGACTGTCTGCTAGGTTAGGTGCCTGAGATATAAAGACCAAAAGACAGGCCTTCAAGGGGTTCAGAGGCTACCCCAATAGGACTACATTTAGCAAAAATTATATTATACTACAGTATATTGAGTGTATCCTATATGTTAGGCATCTCAATAAGTGTTTTAAACAAACTAATTATGTTAATCTTCATCAACAACTCTAGGAGGCTGATACTAACATTCTATTTACAGATGAGGGAGACTCACAGTTGATACATAATGAAGTAGGCACTCAAACATGGGCAATCTTAACTATAGAGCCTTAACCATCATGGCTAACTGAGCAATTCCAAATTCAAACCTCAAGTTACTGACTTATTTATAAGTCTAATTTGGAAAATCAGGGGGAAAAAACAATGATTTTCATAAATACTTCCTGAAAATATCGGGGCTATGTACTGTGAAAGGTGCTACAAGGATGCCTAAAACATAGTCAATGCTCTTTAGGGGCCAGTAAAAGAGGCAGGCATAATGAATACACAGCTAACTAATACAAGGAAAAAGGAAATAGGTACTATAAACCATGTCCAAATGCCATAATTTAAGCTACTGAGATAGAAGAAAACTTCATCAAGCTTGACATTCTTTAGCTTGACCTAGAAAAATCAGTAGGGTTCAGAGAGATGAAGGGCAACAGCAGACATTAAAAAAATAATACCGTGAAGCCAGAAAAATTATTTTAATTTTTATATAAAAGTATTACCTACAAATACAATCTCTCAAGCATCAAAGAACGAAGTGTCAATTATAATAAAATATCATCAAGAATAATGTGAATTTAGATGAAGTTTAATATAGTAGATGTTTGGATTCTGCTGCAAACTACTGATAGCTTTAAGTAATGGTTAAGTCTAAATACAATTATGTTCTAATTAGAGTAACTTTGTATGCCAGTTTTTATGAAATAATTTACCCATTTTAGGACATTTTGTAAAAAGATAAGTATCTTACAATTGGGGATGGTCTATGGTAATATGAGTATTCACAGTAATTCTGGAATTATACATTTCTGTTTTCTAAAAATTTAAATTTTAAAGGGATATACCATATGTCATTTTTCCTCTAATACACTGGTGAGTTTAAGAATATTCTTTCTTTAAAATGCTCTTTAGTGAGTCATCAGCAGATGGATGAAAAGATATCCCATTCAAGTACTTCAATCACCCACCTAAAACATTTAAATTATGCTGAGCTCTGAAAACCACAATGGCAGATAGATTCCCAAATAAATAATATATACAAATCAGGGTGAAGTACTAAGAGTTACCATCTTCCAAGATCCAAATGTCCAGTGGCATTCAAAAAGACGACTAAAGTATTAGGTCAAGTTACTGTCAACATTAGCATTCAATTGAAAGATGACCTACACTAACGATACTAAAATATCAAACAAAAGGTAAACGCCAGGTTTTCTGCTTACTATATCATATGTACTAAACCTCTTATAATTTGGTTCCAATGCTCCATTTGGAAATTTTTCTCTAACTGTTCTTGATCAGGAAGACAAGAATTAGATGGAATTACTTTCTCACCAATTCTTTCATTACTCATATAAATATCAGTATCTTAAAATTAAAACCTTATCTTTAAGGATGAAATTCACCTCTTCATTTTTCAGTTTCCAATATGGTATAATCAACATCAGCAACAA